GAGATTGAAAATGTGATTAAAAACTTACTGACAAAGAAAAGCCCAGGCCCTGATGGATTCACAGCAGAATTTTACAAGAAATTCAGAGAAGATTTAATATCAACACTCCTCAAACTCTTCAATGAAATTGAAAAGGAAGCAATTCTCCCTAACTCATTTCTGGAGGCAAATATTATACTGATACCAAAACCAGAGACAGACCCAGCCAAGAGAACTACAAACCAATCTCCCTAATGAATATAGATGCAATGATATTCAATAAAATACTAGCAAATAGAATGCAGCAAATCATCAAGAAAATCATATACCATGACCAAGTCAGATTCATTCCAGGAATGCAGGGAAGGTTCAATACTCTCAAATCAATTAATGGGATACACCATATCAATAGAGCCAAAAACAAAAACCACATGATCATCTCAATAGATGCAGAAAAAGCTTGACAAAGTCCAACATGCATTCACGATAAAAACCCTACAAAAAATAGGAATAGATGGTATTTACCTCAATCTGATCAAAGCCATCTATGACAAACCAACAGCCAATACCATACTAAATGTACAAAAACTGAAAGCTTTTACTTTAAAATCAGGAACAAGACAAGGATGTCCGCTGTCACCACTCCTACTCAACATAGTTCTGGAAGCATTAGCCAGAGCAATTAGACAAGAAAGAGAAATAAAAGGAATAAAGATAGGAAAGGAAGAAGTAAAAGTATACTATTTGCAGATGACATGATACTTTACATGGAAGACCCCAAAAACTCCACAAGAAGACTCCTTGAATTAATCAACAAATTCAACAGTGTGGCTGGATCCAAAGTTAACACTCAAAAATCGATAGCATTCCTATACACAAACAACAAACAGACTGAGAGAAATTAAGAAAACCATACCTTTCACAACAGCATCCAAGAAATTGAAATATTTAGGAATCGATCTAACAAAAGAAGTGAAAGATCTATTCAATGAAAACTACAGTACTCTGAAAAAAAGAGATCAAAGAGGATTTCAATAAACAGAAAAACATTTCTTGTTTATGGATAGGAAGAACCAACACTGTGAAAATGGCCATACTACCAAAATTGTTGTACAGATTCAATGCAATTCCCATTAAACTACCATTAGCATACCTCACAGATCTAGAGAAAACATTTCTTAAATTCATCTGGAACCAGAAGAGACCCAGAATAGCAAAAGCAATCCTGGGCAACAAAGACAAGTCAGGTGGAATCAAAATCCCTGACCTAAAATTATACTACAAAGATAATGTAATAAAATCAATCTGGAACTGGCTAAAAAACACACCAGTGGATCAACGTAACAGACAAGAAGATGAAACCACAACCACAAACACACTCAGCCACCTAATGTTTGATAAAGGGGCCAAACAAACTCACTGGAAGAACGATAGCCTCTTTAATAAATGGTGCTGGAAAAACTGGTTTACCACCTGCCAAAGACTAAAAATAGGGGGCTGGAGATTTAGCTCAGCGGCAAAGCGCCTGCCTGGCAAGTGCAAGGTCGTGAGTTCGGTTCCCGGTACCACAGGAAAAAAAAAAAAAAAAAAGGCTTTGGGTTCAAGCCGTAGTCTGCATAAGACTAATTTGGAAAGCTCATCAGAATGAGAAAATTAAAACTGCAATTGCTGTCGGGAGAAGATGACAACCTTCCTTGCTTCTAAGGCTTTAAATTCTAATAAAGCAACTGCATTTTAGTCTGGGATAATACACAAGTTTTTAAAAATACTGTAATTCATATAATTACTTGTTAAGATTTTATCATCTTGGTTACTATATTCTCAGTAACTTCCTTTAATTCCTCCAAAGGATACAGGTCACATATATTTACTCTGAAGTTTTTGGGTCAACTTAATTTTTCCTAGAAACTCGAAAATTAAATTGCAATAAAAACCTAATAAATGAGCAAAACCTTGCCGAATTAGGTTAATCATTCACTTAAAGCAAAGCAAAAATACTGAAGAAATGTTGAGTACAAGAAAAAAACCTCAATTTTAACTATATATTATTTAGCTCAGTTGAACGTCATTTTGAGTTAAAATTTGCTAAAATTATTTCTTACTGTGGTAAACACTGCCATCTAGAGGACTTTCGTTGTAAGGCCGACCAAAATGAAAATGCTAGAAAGAGGGAAAGGTGTGTGTATATACAGACCTGCATTATAAATTTTATTTCATAAATTTCATAAATTTGATAATGATATCTATATTCCACAAAATTACCTTAGTGGCAACAGTAATAGATTAAGCAACATTTGCTATGATTTCAATTTTCAATACCAATACATTGCCAAATAGCTTATTTGAATGAAATATTTTTCTATTAGCCATGATGTTGTAAATTATCACATTTGTCGGATACTAATACAGGAAATTTGAATAAATTAGTTATCAGATCATACATACAGTAAGATTATTGCTGAAGATAAACAACATGTAATAGCTAGAAGAAATTGAAGAATATGATGGTATTGATATATGATATATATCCTCTGAAATATTTCTTTAAGAAAAGCAACAAAATTATGTTATTCTTGTTATTTATTCTTTTTATTTTTTTAATGCGAGTGTTTTAAATCCTGTTACACATATGTAATACACTGATTTCTAAGATCTATTTCTTGGCAACTTACTGATTAACTGATGGTGGCTGTGACTCTGTGAGGTATTCAAGATCAAAAAAGATGTAGAGGAAGAACTACTTATGTGGCATTTTAAAATAGAAATACCGGGCCTGGGGATTTAG